TCATTGGAAAGTTTGAAGTATTGCTATCAAGGCTATTTTGTGAATAGAAATTATATTTTTTTTAGACTCACATACAATTTAGTTTGGAAGTCTGATAAATTACAGTGGATTTTTGGGATATTGGTATTGTAATTTATAATTTTTTTTGTATTCCAAAATTCTTATATAAAGTCTACAAAAATTATTATTTTTCCATCTCCACATATGAATTTGGTTGAGGCTTAGCAAGTATGGCTCACGAGTGCAAACAAGGACTTTGTAGCATCGTAAGCAGTAGAGATAATTGTTTTCTGGTTCATTTTTATTTTACTGTTTTATGTTTGAAGAAAAATAACTGACATTTCAGTATTTATTTGAAAACAATAGTTATATATATTTATATACACATAAATATGTGAGTATGGTAGCCAATATGTTACTGTATTTTACAAAGTAAGAAATTGTGTTATTTTTCTATTCGTTTACATTGAGGTAGAATAAATGCAAATTATATGCAAAGTTTGTTCATGTAGCTTGTGAAAGTCTAAGAAATAAATTTATCACTAATCAACTGATCTTAACACATGGAAAGGAGCATCTTTACATAAACACCCGGTTGAACTTGCAGTTTGCTGGTGAATAATTTGTGTCTCGCATCACAATCAAGAAGGGTAAGCCAAGAATACTAGCCCAATCAAAATGAGCTATATTTATATTACTGGAAACTACACATTTATTAGTTACTGTGTAAGCATGGTAATATAGGAAACAGGATGTCCATAATCATTTACACATATTTACACCTATACCAGTGCTAAATCCTGACCACCAAGTAAGATAACTGGCAATATTATTGGATAGGATACAACTTTATACTTTGAACAGAGCCATATCATAAACCTTTCTCTCACTTTTATAAAGTACTTCAGACAATTCTTGTTGCAACCACTGTATTGTAAAGAAATTGGCAAATTCTATCCCACTGTGTTCTCAGAGCAGCGATCCAAATAGTTTCTGTAGGATACTTCTACTTTTTGATCGGCCCAGATTTTCTACAAAGTCATAAACATTTTTAATACTTTAGAACAGTGGTTCTTAACCTTTTTTGCTCCATGCCCCACCTCGACACCTCAAAAATTTTGATGCCCCCTTAATATAAAAACAAATTTGGTGTTGAAAAGGTATAATAATATAATGTAAAATTTATAAATTGAGTTTTGAGTCACGGAACGTTTTTCGCTCTTCACACCCAAACGAAAAGATTTTCTTATTGCAGCATTTTCAAATTGCCCCCCTGTCAACACCACCAACTCTTGGGCTCCCCTTCTACCAACGGCTGAAAGGGCGAGTATGTTCGGGGATGGGGATTCGAACCCGCGACCCTCAAATTGCCAGTCGAGCGCACTAATCACCAGGCCATAAAAGAGGGAAAGATAAAAAAAAAGACTTAACTAGAATGTTTGATTAACAGCGCCACCTTAACAACATAAACGTTGTTATGCTTATTCTGAAGCTTGGCAGACAAATGCAATATCCTTCATTAAGACATTAAACTG